TTTGCTGTACAATTTAAAGAAACATTGCTAAAATGTATCAATTAACTGTTTATGTGAGATACGTTTTTGAAGAAGACATGTCAGAAGATTTTTTATGTTGTAAAAGGTTAGAAGAAAGAACAACTGGAGAGAAAATATTTGAATTTATTAACCGATATTTTGAGGAAAATGATCTTGCCTGAACCCACTGCGTCGTCGTTTGTAACGGGTTAATAATAAAAATTGCTCCTCATGTACTATTCAATCTTTGTATGATACATAGACAAGCTCTACTTGCACACTGCACACTGAGCAGTAAAATCAAAGCTTTTAAGAATAAGCTGATACTTTGGCAAGAGGAATTAAACAAAAACAACACAGACATGTTTCCGTGCTTTTCAGAATTTATAATATATAGATTAGAATAAAATATAATTTGTAATAATATAGATTTCATGTTATTTAAAAACATCATTTCCCATCATTTGACAAAATCGGGAGAAAACTTTGCGTAAAGGTTCGAAAAATTTCCAGATAAAGAATTGGGTTGGATCCGTGAACCATTTTATTTTGATATTATTAATTCCGATATCCCTTTAAATGAAAAAAAAAAACAGTTAATTGGTATTATTTCAAGTGACGAAACTCTGCGTATTCAATTTAGGTCTCCGACTTGCCAAAAATTTTGGTTATCAGCCGAAAACAAATATGCCGATTTGAAAAAATGGGGAATCAATATTTTGATTCAATTCGCATCGACCAACTCATGTGAATCCGGCTTTTCAAAATTAGTTGCCATTAAAACAAAATATCGATCTCGATTAGATCCAGAGGACGACTTAATGATTGCGATTTCCTATACAGTTCACATTGAAAGCTTATGAGTAAATGTTTAAAAGTATATTTTTTATTAAATATGCCATTGTTTCGCAAAATTATGTGTTGTGTAAAAACCTCTAATAAAAGGAAATTTCATTCATTTTAACTACGTTGACGATTAAAAAAAATCTCTACTGTCTACTCAGGGGTCGCGACAAATGGGGATAGGTTGCGCACCGCTGCAGTAGATTATAAAAAATGGTGAGATCCCTATGCATGCGACGAATCTGAAGAGTTGCAAGTTGAAGAGAGTTTTCCAATACCGAGTAATCGACGTCCTCAAGTTATTGGTGCTCCCTAAATGCTATATACCGCAGAAACCAACCTGAATTCCAATTTTTCGCTTTTTTTTTTATTAAGATTTGATGATTTACTCTATCAAATGCCTTTGAAAAATCTGTGTAACAAATTTTTGGCTCCGTGGTGCGATGGGGGAGAAATCCAAATTGTTGGTAGATGAAGTAACCTTTCAGGCCATAAATAGTCTCAGACTAAACTCTCGAACACTTTAGGAATACAGCTCAGGATACTGATGGGCCTATAATTTTTGACTTGCGAGTTATCGCCGGATTTTAGCATAGGGGTAATGAAGCTTGATTTCCAGTTCCCGTTTTTAAAGAGTGGTTATAAATAATATAAAGTGGTCTAGAAAGTATGAAGCTGCAATGCTCAATAAGATATGGTGGAAGGCCATCGGGACCGGATCCTTTGTTTTTGTCTAGAGTCGGCAGTTTCTTGTAAATAGATGAAATCGAAATGTTAAAATGTGGAAGGCGGACATCTACAGAAGGCAGCGCATCTTCAGAGACAGAGTCACTATACATGTCCGCAAAATAGTCTGCAAATAAATAGACAAAATTCTCTCCCACAGAACAGGTCACGTTTCTTTCCTTTTTACTGTTCACAAACTTAAAAAATTCTTAACGTCTTCCCTTAATTACGATTCAGTCAGAGATATACATTCCTGGTAACATTGCACTTTTAAAAATTGACATTTAGCTCTTAAGTCCGAAAATCTCGTATAGTCTACATATAACCCGCTCCCAAGGTATCGTGTATGTGATTTCTTCTTCTTTTTAAGCTCTGAGGAAAACCAAACTGGAAACTTCTTAGCTGAAAACTTCTTTAAGGGAACGTAAATATCGATAGCTAAATAGACTATATCATAGAACACGTTCACCATATCCTGCAGAGTTTTGCTAGTAAATAACTGGTCTCATTCGAACTGCGACAAAATCTCAGTCATTGCAACCAAGTCTATAGATTTAAAATCTCTGTTGAAAGGTGCAGAACCACATTGCAAGGAAAATGAGAGTGGTGGGTGATAAAAGTCTATATAGTATATACAGTCTAGATAGTCAGCAAGGCACTGTCCGCCAAAACCATTAAAATTCCGCCATCCTGCGCGAATGCTAGTTCCAGAAGTTTGTCGTTAACGTTCCTGATTGTGTTTGTCTGGAAGAGGTGGTGGTATTAGCATAGGTAAGTTAGTAGATTAGTGGATTCGATCTGGCTCTGCGTGCTCCCCGCCAGAATGATTGCAACTGATGATAATTCTTCCTTCGTCCACCAACTGTTGGGCAGGTTGAAATCGCCTAGGGCGCACAACTTATGACTGGGCATTCTTCTACCAGTCTTTTTAAGTTCTCTTCAAATTTTGCATATTTCTTAAAGGAACACTTTGGGGGAAGCAGGCTGTAGCCAGTATAAATTTGTTGCTATTGAGATTGATTTCAATAAATAAATGTTCAATGCTTTTCGAAGCTGCTGAAACATTTCTTGAAATAGACCGCTATTAGAACTCCACCTCCCCTCACGAAGGTACTAGTTTCTGCAGATCTATCCTTACGGTATATATTGTAGTTAAACATCTGTAGTTGTAAAATGTCATATTGGGAGTAAGACACATTCTGAAAGAGAAGTTGAAGCTTGGTGCGCAGTTCTCTAACATGTTGGAAGTATATAAGTAAGGACGAGGGGTCCGCCAATCTGGGATAAGAAGGACTGTCTAGTTTTTTGCATTTTAGAAAGAGATTAGATTCTCCATTTCGCTGTTTTTCCTTCAACTCGTTCTTTATTGCATTCACGTCCGAACGCTGATCAGGTGTAAGGTCAGCCTCTAGGAATATTTTGCGGCTTTTGTCCATATTTTTCTTACTCCTCACCACTCTGTGAACTATTTCAGCTGAGGCTAGAGTCAGGCGCAATGACTGGTGACCGTTTTATTACGCTTTCCTATTCTCACTGCTCTAGACAAATCGTCTTCTTCAATAAGTTCTGGAACGTTAAAGAGCATCAAGTTACGCGACCTTTGTTGCAGCTCAGACACCTTATGCAGAACTTTGCCATGGAGACCCACTGTATCGAGTTCTATGTCTGCTTGTTCACTATCAAATAAAATTATAGAAATAAAAATATCCCCATATATTTCGCGAACATCCCTTATATTACCCCAAATATGCCAGAAGGGGGCAACGCGACCACCAAGATACGACCCGTTTTTGACGATTCAACCAAAGGGAAAGAAAGTCCTTGGCTGGACCAATACCTTGAGAAGGCGGCGAACTTAATTGAGCTAATTCCGAACCTCTTACATTCGCTTTTTATGGATCGATTCAGAGGGAAGCAAAAAGATTTACAGACATAGACGAGTTGTTTTTGGCGTCAACAGAAAGTCCTTTTTTGCTAGGGGAAAAATGCAAGGGAAATAAAGCTCCATACACTAGGCAGATAAAAAAATTGGTTTTATACCGGTCAATTTATAATACCTCTAGAACTGAAAAATAAAATAAAATTAAAATCATTAAAAAAAATAACTAAGTGGCTTATTGATGCTAAATTGTAACTTAAGTTTCTAAGTGGCTATTTAGTATAAGTCAAATTCACAGATTCATTAATGTATTGTGACTATATAAAATCGTTTCTTTTTTTTGTGGTAGAATATTATGTTTTTTTTTTTCATATATAATAGATGGGATGGCTGTCAAGTTTTTAACTTAGTATACCTTGAATATAAGTGTTTTTTGTATTAATTTTTATTTAATGTTTACATTTCAATAAGTTGTTAAATTGTTTATTTTTATTGATTTAAATTTAGATTTCTATCCAAGAAAAATTTGCGACGCATATTTCTACCTTTTAATCATTCAAGCGTCCATGAAGAAATAAAACTAGAACGATCCAGAAGTGTACATGATACAGTTAAAATAAATGCTTAACTATTGCTTAAAAAATGTATATTTTGTCCCTTCAGAAATAGATGCTAAAACAAATTTATTCTTTCTAGAAGCAATTTAAAGTTATTATAAAATGTACAGAATGTTTCATAAATATCTGGGAAATCAAACTGTTATTGTCGCAATTTATTGGAGGAGGAACGGTAAGACAGTTTTGGTGACGGTGAATTTTTTTATAAAGCTAACCAAAAACTAAATTTTAATCCGTGGCGTTTGCTTTTAACTTCAATTAGGTAGTATTTGGTGAAATTTAATTTAATTTAATTAAATTTTCAAAGGCATGTTTTACAAACGCAGTTCAATTATTAAGCTACAATTGAATTCAGGGAATGTAGCCGAAATAGATAAATATTATCCAGTAAAACTGTGTGGAGTAAGGCAAACGCCATCGTGTTGGTTTAAACCCGTGTTTTTTTTTTATTAATTGTAGGTTACCGGACGTAGATATATATAGCCGGTAGCTATTCAAATGGAATGGTCGCCATGTTCGACTTAAACTGTGGGTCTAGTTTATTGAAAAGAACTAGCGTAAACGGCGGCCAAATAATATTCTCTTATCTTGCGATACAGGCTCACAAAATTAAAATATCGAAGATTGAAGGAACATTACCCGTCCAATTACAAAAGTCACCTTACTTTTTGAGCACACCTCGTATATAATTATTCAAAGCAACCCCCTACTATTACTTACTATTACTATTTACAACACCGTCCCGTCGCTTATTTTAGAGCTTAACCGATACTGAAGCAGTTAAGCCCTGAAGAAGCCAACAGGATGATTGGCAAAACATTAGCAAATTCAATTCAACAACAACCGTTTTTTAGTATTGTAAATAGAATGTTTTATATAAGGTTCTTAAAGCGATTGAGTTTAGCAAATAACAAAATTGAATGAGAATGTCTTACCTTCTGCTGCAATTCTCATCTCCTCAATCGAACACTCCACATTTTCTTTCTCCAGGTTCACTTCGAACCAGTTGTCCTCATACCAACCTGCAAAATATAACTAGCGTTACGATAAAAAATGAAAGAGGATAACATACATTTTTATCAACAATAAAATTGAATATTGTGGCTAGTCTCTACCAACAACGTTTTGCTACCGGATTTCTTTCCATATTTATTTGCTATTATTGGTATAAGTAAAACATGACCCTTAATTAAATTGCGATTGTTTCAACTAGTCAACTAAAACATGACTTTACGATAACGTAACTTCGGAGAAAGGCAAACATTGCGGCACTGCAACCACGGGCTATTATATTGACCGATTCTCTGAAATTTGCTTAAATCTTAAGGTCGATAAATCATGATGGTTCAATTTACCTTTAAATGCAAAAGCTAAAACAAAATAAACAATCAGCTGCTATTATTCATGTTTCACAAATTTTCATCTCAAATTTGACAGTGAAGTGAATGGTAGCACCGAATTGATGAACAGCAGAATTTAAAACTACTTGTTGGTGAGCATGGTATCAATTTATTGAGAAATCCATTTTTACTGTTAACAAGTTAATGGAATTTACAGATACTGAGAAGTAATCACATATAAAGGGTATTTTTTAAATACTGTGTCAGAGGATCACACACGTGACATAATTTTTTGCTTGTATATCATTCATTGTATCCTGAAACAATTTTTTCTATTTAATAGCGCTAGAGCAGGACTTGGCAACAAGCAAATTGATAAATAGACAGACCGAAATATAAAAAATTTGTTGAAATTGTCACTTATTTATGTTATTCTGAGTTTTTTGTGAATGTGAAAAAATTCCTGTCGCACAGAGCACATAGATAGATAGATAGATAGATAGTTCTATTCACAAAGCCCAGTATGTATACAGTGGATGTTTCGTCAGGAAACGAGTACATTATAGAGTAGTATAAAGATACATGGAATTATGTATATAAACACTACGATAACACACATTTAACAGTACAGTATAAAACAGTTACAAACGGATATACAAACAGTACAAACATATTGACAAAATGTAGAGAAAATATCACTAAACTCATCAGGGCACTCCTGTAATATATGTTTCAAATTCTTTCAGGTCGTAGAAAGCATTGGTTGACAAAAGCTTTCGGATGCACTTTTTAAATTGTCTTGTAGATAATGCTTGTAGGAAGCAAATTATAGTAATACGGTCCTGCGCAATTTAGCGACTTTTTGTAGAACATGTGGTTCAGTGTTGGCTTTAGAAGGTGTTCTCAGTTTCGGGTGTTATAACCGTGAACATCCGTTTATTTCTTGTGAGAGCCTTTATTTTTATGAACGATGATGAATAATTTAAATAAATATATGCAAGGCACTGTTAGTATTTTATAATTTATATCTTTGCAGGATAGCCTCGGGGGAAGTCTGAAAATCAACTTAAGTATCCTTTTTTGCTGAATGAACACCCTCTCCGCATCACTCGCTTGTCCCCAGTTTACGATATTATATGAAATAGACGAGTATGCTGAGGCATAATAGAAAGTCAACAAGGATCTTTCAAAGAAAGAATCTCTGATTGATAACATTGCAAAAAACGTTTTGTTCAGTTTATTACAAACACTATCTATGTCGTAGTCCCACTTTAGGAAGGCTTCAATGTAAGATCCGAGAAACTTTGTTGTGTGGTTAATTTCCACGCGTGAACCGGCAAAGCTGAACGTTAGGTTAGTCAGAGGTTTAACATACTGACCAGTGAAATCGATCGTAACAGTTTTTTCCAAATTTATGATCAAATGATTCTGTTTGCAAAAATCAACAAAACGGTGCCACAACAGTAGAGAACCTATTGATCAGCTCCTGAGCTTCATTTCCGGAGACGAAGATGGATGTGTCATCCGCGTACATAAAAACGCGGCAGTTGCTATTGAGGAACTCAAGAAGGTCATTCACATACAGAAGGAAAAGGGTGGACCTAAGATTCCTCCCTGGGGCGTGCCTAAGTTGACGTTGAACGGTTCCGAGTATATTCCATTCACTTTACCCTTATTTCCCTATGTTTCATATATGATATTATCCAACTATTGATATTACCTCGAAACCCCAGGCATTCTAATTTTTTTGCCATGATATTCAGATCTAAGGAATCGAAGGCGCGCGATAGATCAAAAAACACTCCCACTGGACAAGGTCATTAGTTCCCGTTTCCGTTGAGTAACCAACACGGAAACCATGTTGCACATTCCATATAATGTTTTCTTGCTCCAAAAAATGTGTCATTCTGTCGTACATGACCTTTTCGAGAACTTTGGAGAACCAACCTGGGATTGTTATAGGCCTATAATTCTCTATTAGCTGAGAGTCTCCCTTTTTGAATACAGGAATCATTTTTGATTTTTTCAATGCCGCAGGGAACTGCCCGCAGGGAACGGACGTATTGATAATAGTAGTTAAATATGGAGCTAAAACATCTCCACAGGTTTTTATGAGTTGTATAGGTATTTCATCGATTCCAACAGATCGCTTGTTTTTGAGTGATTGAATTAAGGTTAGTACCTCTCTATCGGTGTATGGCATGAAAAACATACTCTTTGCCTTGGTGGTTGGAAGAGTGCCAATTTCATCTTTAGTGGCAAAAAATTGTTCGAATTCATTTGCTATTATGTTATCATTAATTACATTGACATTATTAACATTTATTCGTATACGGCGTTGAGTTTTTTCCTTACCCAGCTTCTCGTTGACAAGTTCCCACATTTTTTTACTTTTGTTGTTAGAGACGTATTAAGTTCGAGAAGAAAGCCTTTTTTTCATCGGCGACCTGTCTGTTTACTAGATTTTTCATAATTCTGCAGTTTTTTTCCACAGCTTCATTGTTAGTGGTTTTGCGTCTCCGGTTTATCTCTTTTAATTCACTCATTTGGTTTTTGAGTTTTCCGGAAAATGGTATAGATCTTTTAAGTTTTGTGTTTTTTTGCTAAATTGTTCTTTTAGGATGTGATACCTCAAAGCACCATAGTACATGATCCCAGAATATGTTGAACAGGTTGTCAATGTTTGTGTATTCCAAAAGAGGTATGGTTTCCTTCACGAAATATTTTGTGAGTAGTGTTTAAAAGTTATTGCCTGGGATAAATGATCTGATGTTCCTAAGTTAAGCTGACAAAAGACGGAGTTTTCGATGTTTGTAACAATATAGTCGATGGTTGACGAACTCGTATGCCAAGCACTATTAGTTTGTATCCTCGTGGGTGAATACACAAGAGAACTCAAGCCAAATGAGTCAAAGAGCTCGAATAATCTCTTTGTTTTATTATCTTTTTTATCGCTGTTAATATTAAAATCTCCGCAGAGCAGTGTCACTTCGAACTTTGCGGAAGGGTACTGCAATACTTCCTCAAATTTGTCAAAAAATAGATCGTAGTCGCCCAAGGGTGGTCTATATATTTGCGCAACATTCAAACGACTGTTCCACCGACAGCCGTTTGATTGCTGCTATATCCGAGCAATCACCCATCATATCATTTCTAATAAATATTATACTACCTCCGTGTGTCTGTGTTACGCGCCTGAATATTGAACATGCTCTATAGCTGTGTAATGATACACCAATATCTGCTCCCGTCAACCAATGTTCCGTGAAACATAGGAAAGTTGGATCGTGTTCTTGCATGAGCACGTCAATTATATTTATTTTATTACTAAGAGATTGTACATTCAAGTGTACTAACGAGAGATCAATTCCCGTCACTTGGTCACGTCCACTGATTCCGTCCGGATAAAATTTACACACCTGGGAAATCTAAATCGCTGTACTTGTGAACCTTTTGGCCATATTTCGTGATTATATGCCTCTGTGACGCATTCTATTGGGCAGTTGTGGGGCACACATTCACATAAATGATTGACGATGTTTTCTGTTCATAGTAAATAAACTTTTATTATTTATGACTTGCTTAGCTGTTTCTAATATTTAGTCCTATCATCAGTTGTTTTTCCATTAAATATAACGCTTAATCACCAACTGGGTCACTAATCAGTTGTTAGAAACTACCATTTAAAAAATGAATAAAACATCGTGTTTGACAGAAATAATTCATTTATAATTAACAAGATTTCCGAAAAAACAAATTGTGTTTTTATTTGACCAAACGTTGCCATCATTTATGTCGTTGTTTGATGTTTGTCAGAGTCTCTTGATTGCGTACGGTTTTAATCAGTTAATCGAAGTGTTAGGAACGGAAAAAAATCTGCTTAAACAATCCAATAATTAATAAAATTGGATAGTATTCAACAATTGATTAGTTTTGGTTAGTGGACTAAGCGGATAGGCATATCAAAAAGTAGAAACGTCTGTTACGGGGAAATTGGTCGCCCTTTCGAAGATATTGTAATTGTTATTTAAAATGTCATTTAGCATCGCGTATTATAAATTAGCGTGTCATTTGGGGTAAGTACTAAGTACTAAGTACGATTTGGCTGATTTGTTTGAACGGCTAAAAAAAACTCATATCGGTACTTTTGTTCTAAAATTATTTTTTTGCGGTTATGTTAGCAAGTTAAGCAATCACCATGAGGTTACTTATACCACCATATAGCTTAGGAAAAGCCATTCTTCATCGCTCCTAGTTTATTAATAAATTAAAAAGACTTTTTGGAGTTCATTCATTTAAGAAAATAATTTCCAGCATGTTACCTTGGCCGATTCCCTTGTTAAATGTCTAGGACGGTCCGTGCCTCGTTGCCCTTACAAAAAAGTTTACTCTTAGGTTTTTAAAACACTGTCATTATACGGGTCTAACATGTAATTGAGAATAAATTCCAGATGTACAGAGTGTCGAGTATGTTATTTTTTCATGGTGAAGTCCAATTGGCCACATTCCCAGGTCATCATTGCGATTATAGTATATTATGCAACAAATGAGGTAAACGGTATTTGACTCACGAGTTTATTTGACACGAGCGGAGCGAGTGTTTAATAAACGGGTGAGTTAAAAAGTTTACCGAACGTGTTCCATACTATACTTTTTCTACGACCGTTAGTTTTTGGGTACAT